ATATATATATATATATATATATATATATTGGTATATTTCTTAATCAATTTTATAAGGCCACCAAGAAATTGGTCTGTAAACTCAAAGGATCAGAACGAAAACTAATCAATATTGTATGTCTAAACCTTTGAATATATATATATATATATGTGTATGTGTGTGTGTGTGTGTGTGTGTGTATATATATATATATATATATATATATATATATATATATATATATATATATTAATTTAATTAGAAAAGAGAAAAACTTAAAGGTCCATTGATTATATTTTATTTCCCAGGTAGGTGTTTTTCCTGGTTCATGAGATCACATTTCCAAGGGTAAAAAATGTGGATTGGGCCCCATCAGAACTCACACATACACACACACGTGTGTGGGTGTGTGTGTGTGTGTGGGTGGGTGTGGGTGTGTGGGTGTGTGTGTGTGCGTGTATATATATATATATATTTATACACGTTTCATTAAATAATATAGACAAGTGTTGTCTATTTATTTTATGTAAAATTTTTTCGTATCTTCTGATAAGTTTGGTAACATTATCATTAACCGAAAAAAGAAATTCACAATATTTATCCATTATTTTTTAATAAAATCTAAGCTTTCGGCTTACTCAAGCCATTATCAAAGATGTAAATACAAACATATCAAACAATATACGGACACGACAGTGATGATATAGTCTGTCATTGTTATGTTTACATAGTGGATCACTAAGCAACGATGAACACGCGCATATAAGACGCTAGAAGCGAAAATCGCACCGCATCTCATGACGTCACACATGACTACACGAGAGTGAATTGGAGATTGAAATTATAGACATTTAAGAATATTTGTAGAGATTCCATAGTTGATTTTGTTTAGGTTGGGTTTTAACTGTTTGATGTATAATGCTTCAAGTATTTTTAGTTTTTGTCTATTGTTTTCATGTCGAAGTATAGTTGTGTTTTCGACAAGTATTTTACGGAATTGTGTGTGCGGGCAGGCATGTTGTTTTAAATGCCTAAAAATGTTAGAGTTTTCATTAAGATGTAGTGTCAAGCGTCGTGAAAGCGAGTTTGTGGTGTGACCAACATAAATATTATTTAATTCGTTGGAGATACACTCTCCCAAAGGGCAATTGAATTTATAAACTATGTTGGTTTTTTGCAAATCGCTAACCGGGGGAGAAGAATCATTGCGAAGTATTAAGTTGGATATACTAGATTTAGTGTAGTATATGATTAATTTAATTTTTTTGCTAGGATCTGTAGTTGATATATTAGAATTTACTAAATTTTTTAGTATGTGTTCATCTTGTTTATAATTAGCATGCATTTGATTACGATATAGGAGATTAATATATTTGAGATCAGTAGAAGCAGTATTATGTACAATTTGCTTATTATTGAGATTTCTAAGAAAGCATCTTTTTTGTTCATCAACTATATAGTTTGGAAAGCTATTATTAATAAGTGTCTGTTTTATATTCTTTAGTTCACTGTAAAAAATCTGTTTGGTGGATGAATTAGTTTCTGCACGATGTATTAGATTCTTTATAATTGCTATTTTGTAGTAATATGGGCATTCGCTCTTGTAGTTTAGTGTACATGAATTTATGCTTGTAGGTTTTTTGTATGGAGAAATAGTAAATTTGTTATTATTTGTGTTTATTAATATGTCAAGGAAGGGGATTTTATTATTAGTATTAAGTTCATATGTGAATTTAAGGACAGAATTATTTTGGAACCGTTTTTGAAGTTGAATTATTTCATCTGTATTTTTAACTAACATAAGAATATCATCAACGTATCTTAGGTAGATTGATGGTTTTTAAAATCTGTAAATAACTTATTTTCTAGGTTCGACATGTAGAAATTGCTAAATGTCGGGCCCAATACTGAACCCATGGAGACACCATCACGTTGTATATATATATTGTTATTATTATCAAAGAAAGGGACTTCAGTAGTACAAGTTAATAGTAGTTTTCTTAATATATTAGGATTAATTTTAAGTGGGGCTAAAGATGAGTTACTGTATATATTTCTTATGATTATGTCAATAGTTTCACTAACAGGGACATTGGTAAATAAGTTTTCCACGTCAAGTGAAGCCATGATTTCATTGTCAGGTTTTTCACTTTTTTACAATACACACAATTTAAATTACATGATCCAGCAGCCCACAACACTATCAATACTTGGAATTACAAATGTAGCCTTGTGAAAAGGCAAATCGAAATATCCAAAGAAAAATTAAACAACTTTAACATAAAAAAACAGGACATTTACGATGAACTACAGAATATAACTACCCCGGACCAACTGGAGGAAATTACATAGACTCACGGTGAAGCTCAAAAAATTATAAAAAAACTGAATACATTATACAAAGGTAATATCACTCTTCCTAACAAAACTGATAAATACATTAACCTTTCCAACTATGAACTAACTAAGTTACTTAACCTTGGACCTAACTGCCATATATACCGTAAGTACAATCGACTTTTTAAAAAAATAGAAATTGAGACCCTATACCAAAACATTGTTAAACTCCAGGATGAACAACTAATAGAAACTACACCAGAATTTAAAGACTTACTTAAGGCCGAGGCACTGAAAGATCGACATGATAAAAGCAGAACTTCAAAAATTCTTTTTCTAAACAACTGAAAATTGCCGCACAAGAACTACGTAAACCACCCTGACATTATTGTAAAAAAAAATAAGACCAACATTTTGTCATCCTAAATAAATTGGATTACAACAAAAAACTAGACCACATACTCCATGATCACACAAAGTTTAAAAACTTAACAAGAACCCGACCAACCAACTAAAATCAAAGAAACTTATTAATGCTAATAATGCTGAACAGAACTTTTAAAACTCCCTAAAATTGTTTGGTGATTATAGACCTGTCTAAAATGGCACATAAAAACACATAAACCTATCCTCTCCGTCCTATCATATCGCAAATTCCAACTCCTGTATATCATCTAACAAAATACATCAACCAACTTATTACCCCTATCTTCCTAGTAAATATAGTGTTAAAAATAACATTAGAAGTAATCCAAATCCTAAAAAGTGAAAAAACCTGACAATGAAATCATGGCTTCACTTGAAAAACTTATTTACTAATGTCCCTAAGTGAAACTATTGACATAATCATAAGAAATATATACAGTAACTCATCTTTAGCCCCCTTAAAAAAATCCTAATATATTAAGAAAACTACTATTAACTTGTACTACTGAAGTCCCTTTCTTTGATAATAATAACAATATATATATACAACGTGATGGTGTCTCCATGGGTTCAGTATTGGGCCCGACATTTAGCAATTTCTACATGTCGAACCTAAAAATAAGTTATTTACAGATTTTAAAAACCATCAATCTACCTAAGATACGTTGAATATTCTTATAATTACAGATGAAATAATTCAACTTCAAAAAACGGTTCCAAAATAATTCTGTCCTTAAATTCACATATGAACTTAATACTAATAATAAAATCCCTTCCTTGACATATTAATAAACACAAATAATAACAAATTTACTATTTCTCCATACAAAAACCTACAAGCATAAATTCATGTACACTAAACTACAAGAGCGAATGCCCATATTACTACAAAATAGCAATTATAAAGAATCTAATACATCGTGCAGAAACTAATTCATCCACCAAACAGATTTTTTACAGTGAACTAAAGAATATAAAACAGACACTTATTAATAATAGCTTTCCAAACTATATAGTTGATGAACAAATAAGATGCTTTCTTAGAAATCTCAATAATAAGCAAATTGTACATAATACTGTTTCTACTGATCTCAAATATATTAATCTCCTATATCGTAATCAAATGCATACTAATTATAAACAAGATGAACACATACTAAAAAATTTAGTAAATTCTAATATATCAACTACAGATCCTAGCAAAAAATTAAATTAATCATATACTACACTAAATCTAGTATATCCAACTTAATACTTCGCAATGATTCTTCTCCCCGGTTAGCGATTTGCAAAAAAAAACATAGTTTATAAATTCAAGTGCCCTTTGGGAGAGTGTATCTCCAACGAATTAAATAATATTTATGTTGGTCACACCACAAACTCGCTTTCACGACGCTTGACACTACATCTTAATGAAAACTCTATGATAACATGTTACCAAACTTATCAGAAGATACGAAAAAATTTTACATAAAATAAATAGACAACACTTGTCTATATTATTTAATGAAACGTGTATAAATGAAAATATGCTGCCTAAATACACACAATATATATATATATATATATATATATATATATATATATATATACAAGTGTGTATGTGTGTATATATACACATATATATATATACGTTTGTAGGTGTGCGTTCGTTTGCTGATCTTTTCAGGTTGTTATATTACTTTGTATTATATTGTGTTGTTATATAAGCCATTTTTCTAAATGAAACCTCTTGCACATATAAAACAAATACATGGGATCAGAAATTTTCATTTAAGTCACCGCGTCAGATATTCGTTACCTAAATATTTTATTCCTCTTAAAAGTTTTCATTTGAAACTGTTTTAATCAGCAAATTGGGAAATTACTTTTCACATTAAATGCTTTTTTCATAATTATGAATTAATAATTATATTTTTTTTCCTAATTATTTGAAAAGCATTAAGAAAATTCAGTCACGAATAACGTTATAAATGCAAATGCCAAACAGCAAGAAAAAGTCGAGAAAAAATATTTCATGATTTTTACTAATAGTTAAAAAAGAAAATAAATAGTGGATTAAAAAAAAATAACTTACTGGCATTTGCTGGGGAAAACTCAAAAAATTCTGACGATATTATTGTAAAAAAAGTAATTAGTTATGATATGTTGCAGTAATGAAAGGAAAGAATGAGAGAACGATAGACGGAAAAAAGTTGAAAGAAAAGGAAATGAAAGAGAGAATGATAAAATGATACAAATTAGCTTGAGGGAAATAATTAGAAAAGAAAGAAAGAAAGAAAGAAAGAAAGAAAGAAAGAAAGAAAGAAAGAAAGAAAGAAAGAAAGAAATGTTGATAGACAGATTACGGAGAGAAAGATAAAATGAAAGAAAGAAAGAAAGAAAGAAAGAAAGAAAGAAAGAAAGAAAGAAAGAAAGAAATTTTGATAGATTACGGAGAGAAAGATAAAATGATCATTGATACAATTAAGCTTGAAGGAAATAATTAGAAAAGAAAGAAAGAAAGAAAGAAAGAAAGAAAGAAAGAAAGAAAGAAAGAAAGAAAGAAAGAAAGAAAGAAAAATGTTGATAGACAGATTACGGAGAGAAAGATAAAATGATCATTGATACAATTAAGCTTGAAGGAAATAATTAGAAAAGAAAGAAAGAAAGAAAGAAAGAAAGAAAGAAAGAAAGAAAGAAAGAAAGAAATTTTGATAGATTACGGAGAGAAAGATAAAATGATCATTGATACAATTAAGCTTGAAGGAAATAATTAGAAAAGAAAAGAAAGAAAGAAAGAAAGAAAGAAAGAAAGAAAGAAAGAAAGAAATTTTGAAAGAAAAAAGAAAGAAAAATGATTTGATAGAATTATTAAGGAAATAATTAGAAAAAAAAAAGAATCATTGAAAGAAAGAAAAAAAAAAGAAAGAAAATGTTGATAGACAGAACGGAGAGAAAGATAAAATGATCATTGATACAAAAGGAAATAATTAGAAAAGAAAGAAAGAAAGAAAGAAAGAAAGAAAGAAAGAAAGAAAGAAAGAAAGAAATGTTGATAGACAGATTACGGAGAGAAAGATAAAATGATCATTGATACAATTAAGCCTGAAGGAAATAATTAGAAAAGAAAGAAAGAAAAAGAAAGAAAGAAAGAAAGAAAGAAAGAAAGAAAGAAAGAAAAAAAGAAAGAAATGTTGATAGACAGATTACGGAGAGAAAGATAAAATGATCATTGATACAATTAAGCCTGAAGGAAATAATTAGAAAAAAGAAAGAAAGAAAGAAAGAAAGAAAGAAAGAAAAGAAAGAAAAAAAAAAAAGAAAAAAAGAAATGTTGATAGACAGATTACGGAGAGAAAGATAAAATGATCATTGATACAATTAAGCCTGAAGGAAATAATTAGAAAAGAAAGAAAGAAAGAAAGAAAGAAAGAAAGAAATGTTGATAGACAGATTACGGAGAGAAAGATAAAATGATCATTGATACAATTAAGCTTGAAGGAAATGATTAGAAAAGAAATAAATAAAATAAGACAGGGTGAGTGAATAAATGAATGAAAATAATGCATTAATGTCCAATGAAAAAGAAATGCTTTATTTTTGCAGCAAGTCCAAGTGTAGTATCGAGTATTCATGGCGGTGAAATTATTTAATATATCCAATAAGCGTTCCGGTTGAATAAATCGTTCTACGGGGAAATTTATTTGAAATAATAGTAAGTGTACCGCAAAAATTATCACCTTGCGTGAATAAAAGCAAAAAAAAATTATTGGTACAGAAGAGCAAAAGTGAAATAATTAGCTGAAGATAAGTAATATTTGCGTGAATGAAGAAAGAAAAACTGAAAGTCTGGGTTTATGATTAAATTTGAGAAATAAGAAAATGAAAAATAAAGAATATTCAAGTGAAAGAAATGTATGAAATAAAAGAAAGAAGGCTAACAAGCATTTAAAGATAAAGAGAAATTAGCGACAGTGGTACGATAGAGGAGAGGAAGTATTACATAAATAAATAAGCGAATAAAAAAATAACGGAAGGAAGGAAGGAAGCAAAGAAGAAAGAAAGAAAGAAAGAAAGAAAGAAAGAAAGAAAGAAAGAAAGAAAGGAACGAAAATCGAAAGAAGGAATAGAAAGATGGCGAGAAGGCAAAATTCTGTTCTTGATGGATATAGAGGCCGCGGGGAGCTGGTTAGAGAAGATAGAAATCCTTGATTGGTATTCCCAAAATGCAGCAAAAAAAAAAAAAAAAAAAAAAAAAAGGAAGTAAAGAAGAAGAAGAAGAAGAACAACAACAACAACAAAAACAACAAAACAACAATGACGATGTTGATAATATTGAAGGAGAAGATCATGATGATGACGTTGAAATCGCCAGAGAACTAGCAGCAACAACAACAAGCACCAAACACAATCAGGGAATTAATTACAGCGAGAATCGGTGTTGCGGAAGAGAACACAAACACAAAAACAAACCTCTCTCTATTCCCGTCCATCGTGCCGGAAATATCTTCGGAAAATGGAAATATTTGGAGGTAGAGATAGGAAGAGAAATCGGTGCGCATCGAGGTGGAGGGGGGGGGCAGGCGTCGGGGGAGATAGAACAGGGGTAGGCGAAGAAACGAAGCAGAAGAACAACAGCGACAAGGACTAGAATAAGATGACGATTGTGACGGTGTTGATGAAGAAGTGATGATGATGATGCTAATGATGATGAAAGTAAAAACAATTACAACAATAAACATTCTAAGGGATTGAATCAAGACGATCGCAAAAATGGAGATTATTGTAATCAGCTGAAAACAGTATCTTTAGAAAAATCATAAAATGATAGAATTGGTGAATAGTAAGAATAAAAACGAATAATTAAAAATAGTAATAAGAACTCTAATATTATAATTTGATATTTAAGAGAATATTTGGCATTTACTGTGCAAATTACCAGTACTACTTTTATGGGAAATTTATCAAAACTTTATTTTAAAACGAATTTTCAGTAAAATAACTGTCAAGTCGAGTAACAATTGTCACTCTTTACAGTATTGATTGGTGTCTTTCTTCTAAATATTTTGTATAAGTAGTGTGAAAAATCAATAATCTCTCTCTCTCTCTCTCTATATATATATATATATATATATATATATATATATATATTGTTGTTATTGTTGTGTTCAACGAGGACATCTAAGAATGGTAGTTTGTTTTTTTGGCTAAGTTCATATGTAAAGTTAAGGACGGAGTTTTTCTCAAATGAAATGGAAGAAAAAGCCAACTCTTAACAATATTAACTATGAACAAAGCCACAATATGCTAACCGTATTCGGAAATTAAACATCTCTACCACACACTGATACATACACAGAACGCACACACTCAACTAAGCTGATAATGGAATCATCCTTGATAATGGCTAAAGGTATAGCCGAAAGCGCTCGGAAATATAAAACATTCGGACAGACACACCCTTTGTCCAGAAAAAAAGCTCTTGTCAGAACACAAGAAAAATTAAATAAAAAGCTCTACCGTAGTACCTTGTCTGTCGTTTTAATGAAACATGCATAAAGGAAGGATTGCTGCCTAAATATATATATATATATATATATATATATATATATATATATATATATATATATATATATATGTGTGTGTGTGTGTGTGTGTGTGTGTTCCGATTTTTAAAAAATTTCTACCTCTGATAATTTGCATCGTGATTACGATTCCAATGTAATAAATTATAACCATGGAATATTAGTGTTTGAGCCTTTTATATCATATATATATATATATATATATATATATATATATAAGGCCGATAGTAGGTGGCACCCAGTGCTGATCGAACTCACTACTCATTCGTAATTGTTCTAGTGAGACAAGCTTCCACCATTATCATTTTAACCACCTTCCATTCTCGGCAGTCTTTCTTGTTTTAAAAAGCGTAGAATTATAAATGTAGCAAAACCTAATCATATGATTAAAGTGAGTTCATACATTTTCTTTTGTTCTTGAGAATTTACAACAAAAATATTAAAAATTATTTATTTCCAAAATTGCTTATTTACAAGACTACTTTCGTATTTAGAACATTCTGAAACGTAATACATTTAAAACTAATGCGATACAATATTTACCATTTAGTAATTTATAAAGAAATAAATATGAAAGCAACTTTTTATTCAGAAATCTCTAAACATTTACCAAATTATTAAAGTATATGGAACATCTATAAGGGCCTCTTTATTATTTACAGTTTTATAAAGATCGAGTCAATTAGCAATTAACTGATATTATTTCAACCATTACAATAAAGGATATAATAAATAAATATTGATTATTACTTTTGTTCTCATTTCTATAGAATAAAGGAAATATATAAATTCACTTGCATATGTTTAGATTTTATTACAATTTTAATCATCGCTTTTTAAATGAATAAACATTTACGAGCAATGAAGTCAGGTAAAATAACACCGGTGTCAATGAAAAAACTGTCCTTTCAGCACTTTTTTTTTTACTAGCACGAAGGTCCAAGTTTGTACTTTTTACTTAGTTGTAATTGATTTAAATTTTGCTTTAAAAATTCTTCTTTATGCGCCGTATCTTTTCAACCATGCTCATAGTCATAGCCCTCCACATCTTTTGATCACTTATAGCCCTTAATAATTTTTGTCTTCCGTTATCTTACCATTTATTTACTCAAACCCATCAAGTATGTTACACGCTGCTTTCCTCTCTCCCTCTTTCCCTTATCAAATTTTCTAAGTCCTTATTACGTGCTCCAAAAATGCATCTGGCTCTTTTTTCTTTTTTTGTTTCCATTTTCGCTAAAAGCTCGTCGTTGCTTACATATTCACTCAATTGTATCCTCGAAAAACATCAATATTTGGAAATAAAATAAATAAAGGATGTTTCATTAAGACGGATCAAAGTCATCGGTAAATAAATCAGTGTTATTGGTGAAAATTTGTTTATTTCTCTATTGGATCATGTTATTTAAGTCATGGCTAATATGTGTGAAAAATAATATCGCCTAAATGTCCGCCAGGGCTTCGGTGGCACACCTCCACTCGATGTTCAAATTATTTGATGACGTCTTTGCATAGTTGCTCCTTGATCGCATCAATATGCCTTATTATCTCATCCTTCAGCTGTTGAATTTTTGTTGGCTTGTTTGCATAGGCCTTGATTTTGAGATGACCCCAAAGGAAGAAATCTAAAGGCGTTAAGTCGCACGATCTTGGTGGCCAAATTACATCGCTGTTTCGAGAGATGATGTGACCTGGGAAATTCTCATTGCATTTCTGTTTGAACGTCCAGTTTCGTAATAGGCTTCGATAACTTTAACACAATGTTTGATTGTTAATCTTTTCATGTTTGAAATTTGGTAAAAACTTAAGATGTTAAATCTGAAATAAAAAGAAAAAAATCATTAAACGCTTAAAATTAATTCACATTTAAAATCGGTCCAAGTTATTGGAGCACCCTTTAAAACAAATAAAATGTGCGAGCTGTCAATGATATTTGTAGATTCGAAAAAGTTCAAGATGGTAAGGAAATTCACTATTTTATTTTAGACATACGTACTTTAAATCTTAACTTTCTTATTTTTCCACATAATGTATTTATTTTGATATTGAAACGTTTATTATTTTTTCATAGTTTTAATTTTCAATAATTGTCCTATTATTTTAATAATCCAGTGATTGAACATTGAGAGAATTCCGACCCGAAATTATTGGGTTGGTGCAAAATTATCAGGCGTTTTTGTAGTCGAGTTGTTTGTTAATAAAAATTGCTGTTTTATTTACATTTTTTTTATAAAAGTATTATTTTATGCGTGTCGATAATCATACTCACTTAAAAATGTTATTTTTTTTAATTTGTTATGCTTCTCTTTTCATAATAAATACTATTTAAAAACGACCGATAATTATGCACCAACCCAATATTTGAACATCACTTTTATTAAGCAAGTATTAAAACTATTATGAAGATCTTGAAAATAAGCTACCTTTAGATCTAATCATTCCATGATACCATCAGTGCGAAACTCGGTATCTATGCTAATGAGACGACAATTTTTCTTGTGAATAGTAAGTCTGATCGATTCGATAAGTCAGATTGGTAGCTGATCTCCAAAATGACCTACAATCTGTGATTGGCGGGGGTCAAAAAATGACTTGTTAATTTTAGCGCCTCCAAAATGAAACTGTTCTATTTTAATCGTCTGAGAGAACATTTTCTTCATAAGCATGGCTAATGCTAACCTCCAGGAGAGAGACTTGTTGCGACTTTACGAGCTAACGTTTTCCACTAACATGCAGTGGAATGTTTATATTGAATTAATTCCTATGTTTTCTGCTGGGAAAGCTGCTTCACTCTGTCGTGCTAAACAATTTTTCTCGCCATAGTTTATATTATACATTCATAATTCGCCCATGTATTCTATATTTCTTCCACATTTACCTTGATGCGTCTGCTCTGTATTTAGAGATTCTTGATAAAATCCAAAGAAGAATCTGCTACATTATTGATTTTGATCTAGCGTCTTGACTTCGAGACTATACGAAATTAAACGCAGTGCTAGATTGGCTGCGCGGTCTCATCATTTTAGAGTTGAAATGACTAGATTTAACCGTAAGTTCTATGATAAAAGTTCTTCTTCGCTCTTCCCACTTATGAAACATTTTGTCTGGCTTCTTGCTTCCTAGTTAAATTTAATCTTCAAAAATTTAAGTGTAATATCAATCGTTATCTAATGTCTCTTTAATTACTGGTCTTTTATCGTTCTCTCTCCTTAATAGTGTATTTTTCTCATATTATCTCACAAATTGTGTGTTAGTAGATTTATTTCTTTGTTTGGGCTGAAATGATTAAAGAAATTATTTACTGCTGTAAAAATGTTTAAACCTGACAGAGGCCATTTTCATGGCGTGAAATAGACGTTAGAATACATTATTAACAAAAATGTTTTACTGAGCCAAATGCCTTCTTTGCTCAGAGAACACGTTGAATGTTAGTGCAGCAGGAGAAAACGGCGTTCAAATTAATTGAAACAAATTCAAACAAATGGATGGAAGACTAAAGGTAACAAAGACAAAGATGGATCCTAATGAAATACTTATTATAGATATCAACACAAGACAGGACTTTTTATAGGAACATAATCGGCAAACTTATGGTTGGATACAGCGCTGTGGCAACCCACTGGTCATTTATGATGGCAATCAGAAATATCAAGCTAGAATTATCTGCGATGAGAGACAAACGACAGTGATTCAAATCATAACCTCATTAAATCAAGGAAGAAAAAAGACGAGTGTTCTGTAGATTCCATTATTGGCGGTGACAATCTTAAAACATACAGGGGACACAGTGTAAATAGCAGGCACAGAAAGAAAACCAAGAACTTCTACAGAATGTAGTAAAAGAAAGCAAAAAGAAAGGACTAACTGGAAACAGCTATCAACAGCATGTTTCTGTAGAACAACTACTAATATATTTTTTCTCTGAGGCACGTACATTCATGTTGCTGGCGATCATGACATTCAGCAATCTCGTAATC